AGATTATTTTTTTTTTTAAAAAAAAAAAAAAAAAAAAATATATATATATATATATATATATATATATATATATATATATATATATATATATATATATATATATGGTTCATTAAGTGTTTTCTGTTTGTTGGCCAAACTTTTTAACATTCTTGACTTGTGGTCATGTTTCATGCAACCACACCTGACATTTCTGGCAGGGTAGGAGGGTGTGAATACTTTTGAGATATACCTACAAACATCTATATAGATATACAGATAATTGTCTAAAAAGTCTTCAACTACACAAACACATAAAACACTAAAATGTTACTATGTTGACTATCCTGTAAGTGGCGCTGGATCGATGCTACAACAACAACATGAAAGAAGCTTTATGAGCCTCCGGGCTTCAGAACGGCAGTCAGAACATTTCCATGGTGATTCTGCGGCAGCATGGCACTCACCTGGGCAGCTGAGCCTTCACCTGTCTCTGGCACAGGCTGTGGTAGCGCTCCACCTTCAGGAAGCCCTGGTTCAGCACACGCTGGCAGATCATGTCCATGCGCTTACACACCTACAGGAGACACGGCACACACACACACATCACAGGTCAATATCTACATCATGCAGATCTAGGACATTCTCACTACGGTCCAGCAGTTCACTCCTGGAGAACCAGTTCAGAACACATACGGCCCAGTCAAAGCTAAATGACATCTTACTGCTGCTCTCAACTTTAAAGTCTTCATGATCCAGACAACATAACTCCTGTAGCAGTCAGTATTGCAACACATCTCCAGAAGCCTCTGACTGAAGATTGTTGATGTTGATATCATGACATGCTAACAGTTCAATATTCCACAGCAATATGTCCTGGATGACTCCATCAGTTGTTGGTTGGCTCTGCTAATCCACCTCCTTTGCTTTTGCGTCTCCTTTTTAAATCTGTTTAGTCTGAGCAGAAATTATTGATAACTATCATCAGGTTTTGCTTCCTGTTTTCTCTGCAAACATAGTTTAATCCCGTGGTCAGTTCAAAGAGTGAAAAAGTGGGACACCTCTACCTAGGTAGTGACCCAGGTAAAGTCAGCAGCAATAGCAGGAAAACACCTGCTCCTCCTCCTAACCTTCAACAATGTCTAAGTTCATCTTAAAACTCATGAATACTGACGAATCAGGACATCTACCACCTGTGTGACCCTGCAGACCCGCTTCTCCAGGAGCCCCAACCTCTTGCTACTTCTCCCAGTAGCACCCAGCCAGGCCGAGGCCGGACCCCTCCCCAAGGTGTCCGGAGACACCCGGGGCCCCGCAGTGCTGGCTCCCAGTCTGCCGGAGGGACCGAAGCCTGCCCGGGGCTGGGGCTAGCTTAGCTCCGCAGCCCTCCAGCTGCCCTGTTGTGCTCTGCTTACCGAGCGCAGCATGCTGATCTCATCGTAGGACAGGAAGTTCAGGATGGTTTCGATAGCCACGATGGGCAGGCCCAGCAGTGGGTTATTCTGGTGCGGCTGCTCCTGGAGCGAGCTGGTCTGTCTGAGCGACACAGCGTCCGGGTCCAGCGATCCAACACATCCATCAACTCTCTCCACGACGGCCGCCATTTTCTTTAGTTACTGAGGAGGCGGAAGTGACGCCTCTGGGGGGAAATGCGTGCCACTTCCGACGCTAATGTAGCGGTAGTTCCATAAACAATAAGTAATTACAGAAATTATTACATAAAGACACACAAGTGTCTGCATTAGCCTTCACAGAGCTCGGTCTACCCAGAGAGGCCTCCGTCACCCAGCCTCTCTGCTTTGCTGGGAACATTTTGTAGTTCTGCTCAGCTGTGACTACTCTTTTGCTGTTTCTGAATATTGATGTCAGTCAGTTTACGTCAGAATGACGTCACATCCATCTTAAATATTTCAAATGGATATGTTTGACGGCCTCCTTTCCATCACCCTAATCTTCAACTGAGCTGAAGATTAGGGTTGATGGACTTCATTCTCCATCAGATTGAAGTCAGGGTTTTTCCTGAGCCGCTCCATTACATTTATATTACTTCCAGGGAGAAGAAAAATGTTGGTCATTAAAAGATCACAATCAGATCTATTGGCCAAGATTTTGTTTCCAAGCTCCAATCACAGTGTAGAAAATAGGAATTTATCCACTTCAGGGGAAACAAATTAGGATAAAGGAACAATGTAGACACAAATTTGCTGCCAATTGTTATTTTAGAAAGAAAGAAAAATATATTTTGTTTCAGCTTAATTTGTGTCACTGTAGACTAGAGCATCTGGTTGAAAGGTGACTAATAGGATCCCGGTGTGTGTCTGTGTGTGATTGTGGTGCTGGAGGATGAAGTTTAGTCCCAGGCTGACTGCATCATTCACCGTCCTGATTGCTCTTTAAACTGCAGGGATTCAGCTCAGGAACCAATTGGTAAAGATTCTCCATCTACTGAAATCTGTTGGAAAGATGAATATTGAGTCTGAGTCTATTTCTTTTCTTTTTATTAAATCTGCAAAAACATTTGATCTTGAACTTAACAAGGTTAGAGAAAACTTCAGTTTCTACATGAGACGCTCAGAGTAGTTACAGAAACTGATGATGATCAATCCCTGCTGGGAAAAAGCTGAACTTCTGCTCATTGTTCTGTGATGCAGTCTCTATTTCTCTCTGTTGTCAAGAGAAATATATCATGCTGATGTATTTGAGATCATTAGGCTGATGATCTCATTAATCCTCCATGTTAAAGAAAAAAAAAAAAACCTCAGAGTACATGGGGAAAATCTGAGTGTAGCAACCAGAACCACTTCAGCCTGGAGGATATTTTCAGAGCAGACGTTGATGCCGTCAGATTGATCAGGACGCCGCGGTGCGTTCAGGAACCAAGTCAGTTCACTCCATGTCAACAGAGTTCATCTCATTGAGAAATGTCTGACACTTGGTCATAAGAACTTTGATGGCCTCTGTGACTAAAACGTCAGGAGGCATGATACCCGTCGACTCCACGGTGACTAGAAAAGGAAAGAGTAGATCTGGATTAGCACTTCTGAATAAAACACTGCTGTTAACGTGGGAACTCTATCAAACAGGCCCTAATCCAGTATAATCTAAAGAAAATAGGATTGATTCATCACCTGCTACTACCTAAGATGATCTCATTACAGATGATGTTACAAAGAGAATGTTCCCTCCCACATCAATCTGATCTGATGGAGCAATGCACTTAAACAGAAAGATATCAAACAATCAGTAAAAAAAAAAAACTAAACTAAACAGCAATGACTCAGGTTTTAAAGGGATAAACTAGAATATTTTAAGTTCTACAAAGAACATTAGCAGTGGTTTCCTAGGTGGAAATCATATCACAGTGAATCTGTAGAGAAGAAACTCTCAGAAGGTGGAAGGAATAGCAGGTCAGTTCAGTTTGTTTCAGCAGATTTAAGCTTTTTAAACCAAGTCAAAGTGAAAATGTTTCCATTTGTAGTACACAGCACCAGATCTGCTGATATTCTTTTGTTCTTTGGCACAAACTCACTGGAATATGGCCACGTCCTACTATTGCTAATGGGACTATGACTGGAAAGAAGGAGAACAATGTCTCCTTGAACTGGTAAGTCAAGAGGTTTAGGGCACCACCTGGTGGCCACTGGTGAGACTTCTAGGTAAATCGATATGAATCTATGTTTTTAAAGGGGCAGAAGTATGTGTTTTCAAGGCACAATGCCATTTTATAGCACAATCAAGTACATACCATTGTTATAAAAATTATATATAAGTGCCACAAATATCAAGTACAATTAAAAAGAGAAATTAGACTTTGTAAATTAACACCTTGAAATTGGGACTCTGTATTGCTGCTCTTTCTAAAACTCCACCTTCAGGAAGTCAGTGCAAGATGACTTCTCTATTAACCTTTTAAAGTTTTTACCAGTGTTGCACTGCTGAGAAGTAGCTCATCTAAGTAGCTCAGCAGATAAACAGTTCTACTAGGTGTTTGCCAATTGCTAGTCCGAAGGAAATGAGTGGGGGAGTCACTGGGGAGGGCTGATCTGTGAGGAGGAGGCTCCGCCTGAGGACTGCAGCTCAGAGGAGGAGCAGTGCGGAAAAGTCAGAGCTTAGTAAGAGCAAGTGTTTGGGCATTTCTGAATGGTTGCCGTGGAGATTAAAGGATTTCTCAAACATGCATGAAAGAATCAAGGCAACAGTCTAGGTATGTTTTTGACGAGGGAATAATATTATAACATGACGTAAGTTTCAAAAAATTAAATTTTACCTGCTACTGCTCCTTTAAATTAATGAACAGAGCAGATGTTAGCCAGTGATGATCTAATATATTCATACGTTGAGTGTAAATTTATCATTTCAGGATTTTCTTTACAAACTTCCAAGTCGGCCTTGATTTCTAAACAGACCAGAACTACACAGGTCAGGTTAGCAAACAGTTAATAATCCTGTCTCATAAGCAGCCTCCTGTTCTCAGAGCAGCTACACATCAGTGGCAGTTTTTACAGACATACAGATGAAATGGTCTCGAACTCTTCCCAGCTTCACGCAGTTCTTCAGATCGTTGTGTCGGAGGACCTCTCTGCTGCACGTGTCCAGTCGGCTATTCACAACCTTCGCGACCTTTCTTCCTGAGATCCACAAACCAAAAATACCATTACTATTTAGAAAGTTTCTGGTTTTATTGTTGAGCGTTTTTTCCTCCTTCCTCACCCCGGACATCTTCCAGGTCTATGACGCCCCGTGAGAAGCAGCGCTTCAGGCGCTCCGCCTTCTCACCCTCAACCGGCTCCAGCAGGGTGATCTCTGGGAGGAGGCGGTAACTGGCCGTCGCCACAGGAGAGAACTTAGCATGGTCCTTACCTGAAACCACAACCACACACTGTCAGGGTCGCCTCAGTCTACGACCTTAACCATGTTAACTTAAGTTGTTATAAAAATGCTACACATATCCACATGAGTTAAAAGAGATTTTGTAATTCTTTGACAAAATCTTTGTAATTTCAACATGAAATTACAAAAGACTTTGTAATTTCATGTTGAGTCCTGAAATGACTTTTTGTTGGCACTTGACAAAATATGAATTGAATGGGTTTGAATTAGTTTGTATAAATGTTTTATTTCAGAGGCTATTTGTACAGGACCATGCAGCTTATGTGATCATTGGTTACCATGGTGAAAGATCCCCCTTGTCCTAAAGAAGACAACTGACTTATGTAAACAATTCAATAACATCTGGATGAATTTTCATGCCTGGGCAAAGCTCAGAGGAAAAGAACCAATCCCTGTCCCTACATGACATGACTGTGTATATTTAACACATCCATGCCTGTATGATCTTACCAATTCCTTTGACACAGTGCATGGTGATGTCCAGCTCCTGTCCAGGTCGCAGCTGTGCTATCAGAATGTCATCATGCACGGGGCGAATGCAGGAGTCGGCAAACACATCCGCCTGGTTGCCGATGGGGACCCACTCTATGTGTTTGGAATAAACTGTGAAAAGGAATATAGGAGTAGACACAGGAAATAACATTAGGACTTTATTTTGTCTCAAGGAGACAAAGGGGACAGAAAGACATCCATCCTGACTTTGTTACAGCTGCTGGACCTGCAGGTAAAACAAGTTGGTTACAATCATAGCCATTCCTTCCAACTGAAATGAGACAGAAATGTACTAGTAAATGTGTGATTGTCACTTTTTCTGATGTCACAAGTCTGATCTTATCTCGTTTTTTGGTGAAGGGGAGAGGGAGTGATGAGAACTCTGCCTTGGACTCACCCATGTGGTTGAGATAGAGCTCTCGGGGGTCTGAGGAATCCTTGCTGGCTCGGGGGTTTCTGCTGCATTTGATCTTCAGCTGGAGTTGAATGGTGTCTATTTCTGAAGCTTCTTCTTCCGCAGATTCTTCACCTGAAGGTTACAGAACAACAGTCGGCAGTTTGTTTAACTGGACAGCAGCTTCTTTTACACACCGTAGGTAACAGCATGTAGCGTTATTATCAGAATATGTATCAATGCTAACTAACCTGTGTATTATTGTGTTAAATGGTGATGAGTGGACAACAAAATACAACCTGAAAAAATTTTATTGTTTTTATATTTACAATGTTTATTATGTACACTAATGATGCACAAAAAATCTTAATGTAGATTAACAAATCTATTTTTATTGCACTGATTTAATCTAGTACTGAAATGAATAATTTAACACCATTTATTCAGTAGGGAAATAAATCCAATGTTAAGAAATTATTGCTTTAACAAAGTCAGTTGAGGCACAAACATCAGTACCTCCAATAATTAAAAATAAATGCAAAAAAGAAAATGTTGCTTTTCTTTTTTTAATTATTGCCTTTTTTAAGACTTT